ATGCTAAATTTATGGGTAGGATGTGGTTTATAGAAGGGGGCTACTAATAGATTAGGAGGGGGTTGCAAAAAATATTTTTAAGGGGGATTGCAGTCCAAAAATCCCGTTTTTTTTATTCTTTTGAAGTCACCCTGAATTTGACTAATGGAGGCCTTGTTTAATGCTGATGTTTTTTTTTTGGAGTTGTTATGAATGCTCATATCTTTCAAAACAATGGGGTGATACAATTATGTAGACAGTAGACTCATTCAAAAAAAAAAAAAAGGACAGTTTATAGTGAAGGAGTTTTGTCAAATGGAATGGTATAAGAGAAATAATCTTGGAAATTGGAATGATCCTGTTATGGTCTTAAATGGTTAAAGTGTTTTGCTTGATATGTTCATTCCATCAGTCTTAAGCCCCGTTCGCTTTTGGGTAAGTTATTTACCCAGGTAAATATAGTTACCCGAGTAAGTGCATTTACCCATATTCTTTTATTTTTCATATAAATAAGGCAATGACCATTTTAGCCATAAAAATCCATTATTAAAATGGGCATTTTTATCTCATTTAAGTGTTGGCAACTTTCCCCTAGGTGGGAAAGTTATTTATCCACTTAGGAGATGGGTATCACCGGGTAAGTGATACCCAGGAAAATAAACTTTCACTGGTCCCCACATAAATCTGAAAAAAGAACATGGGATTCTTGGTCAATGAGAACCAAAATCCCATTGACYAACYYCCCCCCCCCCACCCTCAAAATCCAAAAAAAGAACATCCCCTTAAGGTTTATTACGTATTGGTCAAGCATACAACATTTGGTATTGGAGTAGTCTACCACCATGTCACATGTTCGAATCACAAAGAGGACAGCTACTTAGGAGAAGTGCTACCCAGATTAGAGTGAAAGATTTCATGGAAAGGTCTACCTAGAATAGAGTGGAAACCATTATGGAAAAGGGCTACTTAGAGTAGAGTGAAAGCTGCCAAAGAGAAAGGGCTACCTATTGTCCGAGTGTGAGCCATTGTAGAAAGGGCTACCTATTGTCAGAGTGTGAGCCATTGTAGAAAGGGCTACCTACCGCTAGAGTGAAGCCGTTGAGACATCAGTTACAGAAGCGTGAGGTATATTGTGGTTCTAAATGGTTAAAGTACTTGATACATTCGATCAGTCTTAAGGCTTTTGGTGTATTGGTCAAACAAACAACAGATCCGCTCCTAATGGAGAGTGGAGACATTGTGAAAGTTATAAAACCCTATTCTTGGTTCATTTGGTGTTGTGGCTAGATCTAAGTCAGGCTATTTTTCTTGTTAATGTAGGTGGTCTTGTACCCATGTTGTAATCTTCTGGAACTTTGCCTTCAAGCCAACCACTACCACTCCATTCTCTATCGATGACGTAAGATCCATTTGTTGTTGCTTTGCAAATCTATGACACTGAGATTGTGATGACTAGCAAACAAAACATACTTCAGTTCTTGCTCATTTCATCTTTATTTAGATAGGGTTTCTAAGGTGTTCGGGATGGATGATGAATTTTTTTACTAAATTATTTGTTTGGTGGCATTGCTTTCATATCAACCGATATCTTGACTATGAATTTGTTTGTTAGTTATTATTAAGGGTGATTTTTCTTTTATAGAAACTATCTTCCTAATCCATCACATGTTGAGTTGGAAAAGAATTGAGCTTTTCACAAGTTATTTGAGCTCGGCTCATGAAGAGTTCAATTCAGCTCGATTTAAACCAAGCTTCGAGCTGAGTTTGAGCCCAATATAATGGCTTGTTTGCTAATTGAGCCGAGCTCAAACTCGAGCCTGACAAATCTTGGCTCATGAGGCTCATAAGCCTAATATACATACATACATATACATATACATATACTTATACACACATATAATTGTTTACTTTTTTAAATCCCCAAACTACCCTTTTCTTATTTATTTCCATAGTGAGAAGACATTACCAACCAAATGGCCATGGATTTTAGTAACCACAATGACAATTGATTGCCAAAAAAGAAAGAAAGAACAAAAAAGAAGATTGAATATTGAAGGAATTTCTAACCAAGAAATGATAAACTTCTTGGTTTTCTAGCTAAGATAGATTAACATTTTCCGACAAGAGAAGCGAGGGACTGTGAGGAGAAAAGAAAATAAAGAAAGTTCACATGGGTAATTTAGTAATTTAACGCATTCCATAATGACTTAACGGCTAGGGGGTCTTTGGCTCACAACTAAAGTTTAGGGGGTCTTAACTGCAAATTATTAGGGGGTCTTTGTCATTGACCCATAGTATAGGGGGGTCTTTATAATTTATCTAATTTTTATTATATGTATAATAATAATTATTTTTTGTATGTAAAACAAAAAATAATTATATGTATTATTTTTTTATATTTTATATGTATAATAATAAATATTATATATATATATGTAAAATAAAAAATAATTTTTTATATTGTATAATTTTTATATTTTATAGAAAGATTGGCTTACAATCTAGCTCAAGCTGAGCCGAACTCAAACGTATGAGCTTTTGAGCATAATCGAATTCAAGCTCAAGTCTTTAACTTGAATAAAGCTTGAACCTAACATTTTTTTAGTGAACCAAACTGGAATAGCAAGATATTTGGCTATTCCACTCCTAACCACAGGTATCAAAATCAACATGATTTTAATAATCAATTTTTCAGAAATCAAACTAAGAAACAACAAAATAATCATCAATTTTTTAATCGCTGATGTGACTCTGATGTAACATCGATCCAAAACACCACCTAAAATTTTCTCTTGGACCCGTTTAGGAGGGCTGAGCCATTCAACCACGTTGCTTTAAGGCGCTTCAGATAAATTATCAAGAGGCTGAATTTTCACCGCACGTGGCGTAGAGGCTGTTCTTATAAGGCCCACCTTGGAAAAGCTGGAAGCCATTGCAGTCGAAAAAACTTTGGCTATTGGAATCCAAGAGCTTATGTTGTTTGAGAACAGTTTTGGGAATGCCATGTTACCATAAAGTAGGGTATAATAGTAATTGTACCTATGTTTTAACCTTAAATATAAACATGAGCGTGAATTGATGAACGTGTTCAACCTAAAAATGATCTCAATAACATAGACTATTGGCTCCCAACAACTAAAATTAACTTGTTACAATATGCATTTGATGTTCTCTTCTCTTGCTTTGAACTAGTTAGAAGAGTCTATCAAGAGCAAGCAACTTGTTGCTTGGGCTGTCAATGGTATCGGGTCTGGTTCAGGACAGGGTAAAACCATCCCAAACCGACTGTTAAACCAATAGTACTGAAACCAAATCAGACCTGATCGGTTCTATTATTTTAAAACCGATACCAAATCGATGGATAACCGGGACAATTGGGTCTACTCGATTGGACCTGATTAAATAATAAACCATACTTAACCAAAAACGAAGAATTGGCATATCTCTCGTGTCTACAGACCAAACCCCATCTGAAGTGAAGTGTTGGCCGGAGAAAAACCAGAAGATAAGTTTCAGACTTCACCTTCCTTTTCCGAACAAACAAAATGATAATTTGAAGAACAAAAACTGAACAGCTGAAGTGAAGTGTTGGCCGGAATAGAGGGTTTGGGGGTGAACACCAATCGTCGAACGGTGATTTCTGAGAAAGAAACTTTCTCAGAATGAAAAGAACAAAAGTAACACCGAATATGTGAACTGTGAACACCGAATAGGTAATTTCTGATAAACTTTTGAGAAACTGAGAAAGTGACGAACAAAATGACAAAAGGGTTTGGGGGTTTTAGGTTTTAAACCAAAATTCCGATTTTAGACATGTAAAACTTTTAAATTACCTATATATAAAATACCAAAATTCAAAACTGTAAAATATCTAAAAATAAAATACTAAAATATAAATATAATAGTATATAGATAGATAGATATATAAAATCGGTTCGGGTCTAGTTAGTTCAAAACACCCAAAAACGGTTCTGAACCAATAATTATCGGACACAAAAATTAAAACCATAACCGACCCATCGATTTGAATCACTGTTTTCAACCTGGTTGGTCGAATCATTCGAATTATCATCCGGCCAGGATTCCGAGTCCAGTTCAATCAACACCTGTCAGACGGTCAAAAAATGTTGATTTGGTAAATAACCATTTGACCCAATCGGTTCAACCGTTGACTTGTTCGATCTGGTGACGAGGTTGCGGGTTCCACACTCAATGCACACAAACTTTTAGAGGCCATAACTGCACTCCGATGTCTGATTGGCATGATTGGTTTTTTTTTTTTGGTAACTTTTCGAGATCTATGTGTTCCAAGGTGTCATAGGCGCCTTGCCCCACTATTTTCGTGAAAAAACCCCTTTTTATCTTCAATTTGCAATTTTTAATATTTTTTATAAATAAAAAATTACAAATTGAATTAAAAAATATAAATTAAATATAAAATAATACATATAATACACCTAAAACATATTTATACATTATATATACATATAATGTATAAAAGTATACTTGTATACTTATATTTATATATATATACATGTATACATATATAAATATATAAATATATAATTAATAGATATATGCACTGGCAAAAACGGATCGGCCTTCAGATCGTTTTTTAAAACATGAATTCAAATCACAGGACCAAAACCATTATAAATGGTTAGAACGACTCGAATGTATTGGATGAACCCAAATTTCTCACTCACTTTTCCTATGGGTAGGAAAAGTGAGTAGGAAATCGCGTTTGCTATCGTGTAGACCCGACCCATTGACATTGCCCAAACGATTCTTTATATTTGCTTTTGGTGGATTATGGTACGGACTACGGGATAAGATGAGTAGGAAATCTAACGGCAGAGCGTACGTGTTTTATTTGTGAATGAAGGAAGACCTTTCACATCTGCTTTCATAATTCTCAGGCGTATTCTAAAATCAACCGCTTCGATTTGATTCGAACGTGGACAACTTGTTCTGTTGATGATTCGACTTTGGTGCTACTACCACTCTATAAATTACACCATAAATTAAAGACAGAACAAAAAATAAGTAATTCTCCATCAATACCATTCCTCTCTTCTGAGTTTGCCGCCTGCATATATTTCCTCGGGGGATCTTTCCCTTCTGGTCTGCTCCTTTAGCTGAAGTTCAGAAAACCACCAAGCACTGAATTTCCTTAGGTGGAAGGCTTTATACAATGGACAGATAGCACATCTAAACAGGCGTTTCGCTGGTAATGGTCACTCGATTCTTCATTCATGATGTTCTTTGCTGTTAATGAATTACTTTTCGTTTCTTTTATTTCTTCTGTTATAAAGCGTTTGAGGACAGATTATCTGGGTATGCGTAATCCAGATGAGATTTCAACAACCCAGATTTGGTTTTCCTTTCTACTGAAGACTACCTTATTTTTCGGGACTCCCCAACTTTCTTCAACCAAAAGAATTTTTTAGTTTTTGTATCCAATTCGAAATTTTTGCAAAATTTGCTGCAATCTAGAGTTATTCCCTCTAGAATCCGGACGGAAAAGCAATTTTTTTTCCCTTTCACAATTGATGAAAAAAGTCTGGCCTTCTCACTTGCTAGTCCCCCAAAACAAAAAGAACACAGTTTTGGTTTGTAATTTTGTATGAATTTAAGATCTTATGCTGCATGAATTTTCTAATTGTTGATGGTTTTGGAAATTGACAAAAACCCAACATTTTAAATGATAAGATTTGGTGTTGCATGCAGAAATTGGGGGTTCCAGCAAAGGGCAGTCTTCCGATCCAATGGGGGGATTAAATGCTGCGCAGTATGTCTCTATTGATGAGGAAGCTTCTCCAAGGTTGGAGAAGTTCAGGAAGGTTTCAGTCTTACCTCTTATATTCCTGATCTTCTATGAGGTGTCAGGGGGGCCGTTTGGCGTTGAGGACAGTGTCCAGGCGGCTGGCCCTCTTCTAGCCCTGCTTGGGTTTCTTGTCTTCCCATTCATATGGAGTATCCCTGAGGCCCTGATAACGGCAGAAATGGGTACGATGTTTCCGGAGAATGGGGGCTACGTTGTCTGGGTTTCATCGGCACTGGGGCCCTTCTGGGGTTTTCAGCAAGGTTGGATGAAGTGGCTAAGTGGAGTTATTGACAATGCTCTGTACCCAGTTCTGTTTCTGGACTACCTTAAATCAGCTGTGCCGGTGTTAGGTGGAGGTTGGCCTAGGATTTTAGCCGTGCTGGTCTTGACTATGGTTCTTACATATATGAACTACAGGGGTTTAACGATAGTGGGCTGGATGGCTGTGTTCTTGGGGGTTTTTTCACTCCTCCCTTTTGTGGTTATGGGACTCATTGCAATTCCAAAACTGGAGCCCTCAAGATGGCTAGTGGTAAATTTGGACAAAGTGAATTGGCGTTTGTACTTGAATACTCTGTTTTGGAATTTAAACTACTGGGATTCAATAAGTACTCTTGCAGGAGAAGTTGACAACCCGAAGAGAACCCTCCCTAAGGCCCTTTTTTATGCTGTCTTCTTGGTTGTTCTTGGATATTTTTTCCCTCTTCTGACTGGAACTGGAGCTGTTCCACTTAATCTTGACTTGTGGAGCGATGGTTATTTCTCAGATATTGCAAAGATCGTAGGTGGGGTTTGGCTGAGATCTTGGATCCAAGGGGCTTCTGCATTATCAAATATGGGGATGTTTGTGGCTGAGATGAGCAGTGACTCTTTCCAACTCTTAGGGATGGCTGAGCGTGGGATGCTTCCTGAGTTCTTTAGCAAGAGGTCTCGCTATGGAACCCCTCTAGTTGGGATCTTGTTCTCTGCCTCGGGTGTGATTTTACTATCATGGCTGAGTTTTGAAGAGATTGTAGCTGCAGAGAACTTCCTATACTGTTTTGGAATGATTCTGGAGTTCATAGCATTTGTGAAATTAAGGGTACAAAACCCAACAGCTTCAAGGCCATATAAGATACCTGTTGGAACAGTTGGAGCCATTTTAATGTGTATTCCTCCAACTATATTGATCTGTGTCGTTTTGGCTATTGCTTCTATGAAGGTCATGGGTATAAGCCTTCTTGCTGTGTTGATTGGGTTTTTACTGCATCCTGGTCTCAAGTATGTTGAGAAAAAGAGATGGGTCAAATTCTCCATAAGTTCTGACCTTCCAGATCTTTATACAGCAACTGATCATGAAAATACAGAATCCTTCATGGATTGAACAAGTTGTTGGATTAGCATGTGAAGTTACAGTACCACTTACAATGGTGCAATGAAAAAGCTTTTCAATGGTCTACTTTATGTAGAGGGTTCCAAGCCACATCAGTCTGCTAGCTTGGAGTGGCCTCCTGGGGAAATATGGCCAAATCAGTCTGTTCACTTGATGATAACTTTTGTTTCTCCAAACTTTGTTATTAGAAGCTAGGTTATTTTGCCTTGTTTCTGAACTTGTAATTAAGCAAAACATCTTTAAGATGTTTATCAATATGCAATTGAGAGCCATATATCTTTTCTTGATCTGGATCAAGGTCAAAAGACAAATTAGATTGGTATTTGAAATTTGAAAAATGCTTCTCAATGGCTACATCAGTCTGCTCACTTGGTGGTAACTTACTGTTCTCCAAACTTTCTTATTAGAAAGAAACTAGGTTGTCTTTCCTTGTTTCTAAAATCTAAACTTTTAACTTAGCAAAAACATCTTGAATGTTTGTCTATATGCAATCCAAGAGTCATATATCTTTTCTTGATTTTGAGTAAGGCCAGAAGGAAAAGAGCATGGTGTTTGGAACTTGAAACATGATTAGGGTTTACTATATAATATATTTGTGTTACTGAATGATCATTTCTGCTGCTTGTATGATTTATTTTTTCATGTCTCACTTATGAGCCTGCAAAAGATGTCACATTGACCTTCTGAACTGAGTAAAAAGAGATGCCTTATTATGGCTTGGCTGTAACTGACAGATAATATAGAAATATCGTCTACCAAGTGAAATTGAATGTTTAGGCATCATTGTGTTTGCCTTTCAAATCTTAGGGCAGAACATAATACAGTTGACAGCAAAAAAAGTAAGATGTATCTATGGCAGATATGGAAATAGCTTCTATAAGTTATTTTGGATTCATCAAATGCTATTGAAACTACTGAGAAGTGAGAACCAAGTCAAAAGGTTTTACAGAGCTTGTCGTGCTTATTTGTATCAAGTCTTTGGTACAGGCTATAATAGTTCATCCCAATGTACCTTCAAACTAAGAATTTGTGTATGAAGTATATGAATCATCTATCTACGGATACTTAAAATGGGTGTATTACTGGCATGTTATGTGCAATTTTTTTGTATATTGAAACTTTAAAGACCATTTTAATGTGTTTTATTTATTTATTGTTTTGGAAATATCTGAAACATATATGTCTAGACTTGTTGACTTTTAGAGACTGAAAGCTTCAGGAACACTGTCACATTGATGGGAAATTTCAGAAGATTGTTGCTAGGATTGCAAAAATATTTTTTTTTTTTATGACGAATTGCAAAATATAATTGCTCATGCCAAGAAATATTAAATCATCAAGTATCTTCTTGGATGTTTGAAAATGGATGAATCTCTTTTAGGGTCATACCTTAGTTCTTCCCAAAGGGTAAAGAGAAATTTTGGGTTGAGTTCTGAGGACAAAATTGCTCATGCCAAGAATTGCTCATCAGGGATGTTCTTTTGCTGGATTGATGACTTTACATATACAAGCTGTATTTTACATGCAGTCAACAAGATAAAAGGCTAAAAGAAGGTTTTCATGGTTTTCATTTTAGATCTTATCTCCATGTTATGGTTCCAGAAAAAAAAATTGTCTTCAAGGCAAATATCTCTTCACTAAAGAATAATTAATGAAATCAAGTCCTAGATTTGGACATCTTTACTTGGTCAAGACCTAATGTAGTTTTGAGCATTGAACCATCATATATTCATATTTCATACCTTTCAGTCCTTTCCTCTGTTTCTACATTGTTGCATCATATGCCTATATGCTAATTTTCCTCTTTGCATTTTCAGTATTTTCTAGACAATTCCCAGCTCTCTCATTCTCTTTTTTCCATTTAGAGAAAAAAAAAGGTTCTCCCAAGGACTCCATACTCATATTACTTTTTATGGGTAAACGAACCAAGGATGTTTTGACTACTGACTGCAGGGGTTTTACTTATGTAGAAATTACTTTTTCTAAAGTTGGTTTACATGAGAAGTTTCTCCATGAATCATTTTGTTTGAATGCTGGATTTAGAAAAGTGTGTAATAAGAAAATTGAATTGTTGAATATTGTTTTACAACATAAAATTCTCCTTGGGAAGAATATTACTTAAAAGACAGTTTCCAAAACCTCATACCCTCCAACCCTAGTGAAGGCAGGATTAAATCCCTGGCCTCTGATACAATCAACATGAGACTTTACCAGTGCTAGCTGGCACCTTCACTTCCAGGACTGTCCAAGTGGTAATGTGGTATTACTATTACAAGACCACAAACTGTTCTGATGGCATTGCCAATGTCACTTGTTTATTTGTTATTGGCAGATTTAATATCTGCCTTTTTTATATTAGTATGCTATAAATATCTTAATTCGTTATATTTTTCCAATTATCACGGAAAAAATAACTATATGATGAATAATTTTTTTTTGACAAATGTATATGACGAATAATGTTTATGCTAAAGAATCCTTATTGTCATTCCTTGGTTGGATTTAGATCGACCTTTGACCTTTCAGAAAATGACTGTTACGCTTTATTTATTCACTCACTCACTAAGGCACTATATTCTCTTTGAACATACATTGTGCAGGAATTACAACAGTAAATTATTAACTACTCTGCAATTCCACACAACACCCTCCCCCACCTTAAAAGTCCATCATCTATTGGTTGTTGAGATGATACAATATGCCATGATCGCCTGATTGGACCCTTTGATTTCCTTTCACACTAGGACATAGGTTCTTCATTGATTGGGTGAGTTGGGGGGCTGGCCATTCCACTGTCTGTCTCATAGAAATTCTTCAGATTGGTTGGGTAGACAGATCCCTTCCCATGTAGTAGGAGGTCCACATGAAGAGGTAAAACTAAAGGGAGTTCTTTTTGTGGTTCAAAAAAAAAAAAAAAAAAACAAGGGTGGTTGTGTTTCAGAACCATACCACCTTTTCTTGAAAATGAAAATATTAGTTTTGATCCATCATAGGCATTCTGCTATGTATGGTTGTGGTTGTGTTCTGAATCACATAGAACCACAACCACTGTTCTGTTCGTGGTTTGATAACTGTAGAACAACCAACCTCTAGAAAAGTAATGCAAGGACTAATTCCATGTAGATTATTCTAGTTAGTTTCACTGAAAAGTTGGAGATTGTTGTTAATGGCCTTTGCATTTCTTGTGGGGGGACTGGTAAGGTGGTCCCATAGTGGGTCATGCTCGTTCAATCAGATGACGAATTGGAGAACCCAAAACCCAATCTCTTATAAGAACCCTGAATGCACGGCTTATAGACCGTTGTCATATGGTCTGGACAAAGTGTGAAGGGATTCAATCATCCAAATAAATTGCCAGCCAGTTTGACATAGATATCTCCATTTGGATGACCATGAGATCAGAGAATAGATGCATATTGAGGATCTTTGGAGGAATGTACAAGTGTATTTGTGCTGGTGAGACAGTGACCACTGACCAATTGATCCACTGATGCAAGATATATTCCTGAATTGTGGGTTGGGAATCTCTGCGTAGTGCGTACACCATGTGTTTTGGTAATTAGGGAACCAAGTCATTGAAACTTGAAAGGTTGCACAAATAGAAAGAGGAGAGTTGGGAGAAAAACTAATATCAAAAGCACACAAGGACTTACAGGTAACAAAGAAAAATTGTTTTTCTACTTGTAGTAGATGAGACTCATGGCAAGAATGCATCTATGGGTGCAAAGCAAAGTTGATTGATAAGATATATATTAGATGTTTCTTGCTCCAAGACCAGGTACAACCGAGAGAGAGAGAGAGAGAGAGAGAGAGAGAGAAAATTCCAACTTCAAAGTGGTAAAGAAAACATGTGGGCAAGGTTCAAAGTATTGAACATATCGGCCTGTATTGGCTGATACGTATTGTTTCGTGACCCCTCTGATACGCCCCTACAGTGGGTGTATCAGGGTTTTGACCGGTTCAGGGGGTGGAAGAATCCTAAACCGCCCCCCTTGAACTGGTTTTGAAATAAAATTAAAAAAAAAGTAAAAAAAAGGTATTGAAACACCCGATATGCCCCTACCGGCGTATCAGGCGTATCGATATTTTGAACCTTGCATGTGAGTAGCATTTTGGTTGTTATAAAAATGATCCCTTGTGATTATTATAAATACTAGAGGAATGGCCCATGCGATGCATGTGTATTTGATATTGATGGTGATGTTTGACTATGCTTTTACATCTCAGGAATAGATGAAAGTTCACATACTGTTCAAGTCCTAAGACAATTATATAATACATAAAAAAGACTATTCTCACAAAATGCCAATATCTGAATTTTATAATATGCATATAATGTTGGTTGCAAGTGCATCAAATTGAAACATTAGTGTACTAAATCAAATGATAAAATTACATTCAACAACATTACATTCAGATACAGTTCATCCCAATGAAACACAAAATTTATGGGGAATTGGAGATGCCAATCGAAAATAATTACTATTAATGGTTAGAAGTAAATTAAGTTATTATGTTAATTTATTCAAGTAACTATTGAATAGCAGCAGTCATTATCTAAGATGACTATTAAATAATTTACATTTAAGCCTAACAACATTTTTTTAGGCCTCGTTCGCTTTTTGGTAAATTATTTACCCGGGTAAATGTAATTACCTAGGTAAGTTTTTCCTGGGAAACACTTACCTAGGTAAGTTCATTTAGCCATGTTCTTTCATTTCTCAAATAAATAAGGCATTGACCATTTTAGCCATAGAAATCCATTATTAAAAGGGGTATTTTTGTCCCATTCAAGTGTTGGCAACTTTCTCCTTATGTGGGAAAGTTATTTACCCACCTAGGAGATGAGTCTCACTTTCTTAGGTAAGTGATACCCAAGAAAATAAACTTTCCCTAATCCCCACAATAAGCTGGAAAAAAAAAAACATGGGATTCTTGGTCAATGGGAACCAAAATCCCATTGACCAACTTTCCCCCCTCTTCAATTCCAAAAAAAGAATGCCCCCTTAATTTTTAACTAAGAGGAGATAAAGAAATTAGTTGGAAGCAAAATTTATCAACCAACCACTAAAGTAATATGTATGCAAACACCTTCAAGGCACGTTGAGCACCTCCACACATTTGTCTAAAAATAAAACAATCGAATGATTCATAATGTGTTACAGTGTTGCATACAACTGAGGACATGAGTTGCAAATCCTACTTAACAACTGCACACATGATAACATATAGGCCCTACATCAACCCAAGCCCACCATAACCCAACCCAAGCTTCCCAACCCATTAATT